ACATGGTTTCATAGGCCAGAGGTTGAGCAGCACTGGACTAACTTGTCTCCTGTGACCTGTTCCAGAGCCTAGAGAACCAGGTGGCCCAGGAAGAAGGAACCAGCCAAGCTCTGAAAGAGGAAGCGATGCGGCGAGAGAATGCACTGCAGCAGCTACGCACAGCTGTGAAAGAGGTCAGAATTGGAGCTCTGGGGGATGAACAATGAAGTGTCTTAGAGGAAGGCTCTTAACCAGCGGTGGGCACTTCCACTTGTGGTGCAGCTTGCCAGTGTCCTGTTACTGCTATTGAGCAGGGTTCCCCTCTTGGTTTCACCCACGTCTGCCTGTCGCCGCTTTCACAACCCTGTAAATCTGGCTGCAGAGTTGCTTTGATTTGGCCAGCAGGGTGCAGCAAAGGAGCCTTTTGCCAGTACTGCAAATTAGAGCTTCACAGGCCCCAGCTAAAAAGATTCAAGGTTGTATCTCAGCTTTAAGGGATGCAGAAGCACAGAGTGATTCCTGAGAGAATCGAGTTCAGGTGGGGGTTGAAGGTATACAGACATCCTCTGGAAGCCTCCACTCTGTTATCCATGCAGAGTCAGGGGGATGAGGTACCTTTTCTTTATCCTATCTATATGAGTAGTTTCTGTTTTAAAAACTGAGTATGATATAGTTTGAGCCTCAGTTGTACTGATCTGTGACCACACTTGAATGGCTCAAGTCCCTTGTCTGGATTCTAGTATTATTTGGTCTCCCACACTGCTATCAGCAAAAAATGACTGCTGAGCGCACAAGTCCCTGCTCTCAGGGCTAGAAGCATTCCCAGAGTAAAGTGCCCAGAGCCAGATCTCACACTGACTCTGTTGTGTACCTGGATGATACCTGAACATACAAGTCTTGACTTTCCCCTTCTTGGGCTGGGCTGCGCAGAGGAATGCTTACTGTGCACTGAGAGGCCACCAGGGAGCCTGACATCTGCGTGCAACCAAATGCTGCTGTTACAGCTGATCTAACCCTGCACTTGTTTGTGCAGCTTTCGGTGCAGAACCAGGACCTGATAGAAAAGAATCTGACATTGCAGGAACGACTTCGGCAAGCAGAGCTGGGCCAGCCGCTCCCCAGGGAGACAGCCCATCTCGCCCATGAGTTGCACAGCGAGCTGACCAGCTGCCTGCAGGACTTGCAGTCTGTCTTCAGCATTGTCACTCAGAGGGCACAGGGCAAGGATCCCAACCTTTCCCTGCTCCTGGGCATTCACAGTAAGTACATATGGGGCTAAAGCTCAGAGACGCCTTCACTGCATGTGCTGGGCTGGCATGAAATTGCTTGCTTATATAGAGAGTAGCGTGTCTTTTTACCAGGTTTCTGACCTCTGCAGGGCCTTAGAAGGCAACCTGCCTTTGGATTTGGTTTTTCTATTCTGCCATCTGCTTTAAGGAGTTTGTCTTCCTGGATATAATTGGGTCTAAAATAGGGCTGTATTATTCGGGGTGATGTGGCTTATTCATTAATGTGCGTGACCACTGCTTGGAGCTGCATGTCTGATGTGTGTTAATCTTCTGACTTTGTAGCTGTGCAGTGCTCGGCCAAGGAGACTGCAGACTTGCTGAGCCCAGATGGACTTGCAAAAACACTGATGGAGGTAAAGCAGCTGCACAGAGAGGTTGAGGACCTAAGGACAGCGATATCAGACAGATACGCTCAGGATATGGGAGACAACTGCATCACACAGTGAGACAAGCTTCCCTCAGCGTGATAAGGGAACAGCTGGACATGACTTGAAAATCCCAGGAGACTTCAGCGCTCCTGCAATGGAAAAACTTATTGGCACCTTAGCATCCCCCTGCTTGGGTACAACTGTGGGGGGTCACTCACAAGAAGTCAGGGATTCTGTTGCCAAGAGTGTTCAGATGCTGTCTGGCCAACTGGATCTGTTCAGGGTCTGTGTTCGTTTAGATTCTTGCAGAGCTTTTGCTCCTGCCATTGGCTTCAAGCTGGCCCCTGGCCTGTCCGCCCTTTCTAATAAACTCCAAGCCAATACCTGCCAGAAGCACTAGCCTCGCACAGATATTCAGGAGTCTGGGTGATACACCCGTAATACCATCGCACCATGGTGCTACAGGTTTATCTGAGACTCCTGCATTATGCGGTTCTGGCCTCCAAGTGACACATAGTCATTTGTGTACTGAGGCCTGTATTGCTCAGGTATAGGGAGCTGATGTTTTCAGTAGCCAACAGCATCAAGAGCTGTGATGCTAACACTGTTTTCTGACCACGCTCCTCTGCTCGATTTTTACCACCTGAGGCCTTAGGATCTGATCCCCCTCTGGGAGCGTCCTGAATGCAGATGCACATTCAGACTGTGGAGGAAGGGGATTGCTGTTTGAAGTGCCTTTAAGCCTCTAGAGAGACTTCCTGCCCACAAGTTGCTTTTTCATGCCTAATGCATGTGCTGGTGAGGGGAGGAATCGGTCTGCTGGCTCTTTCATAGCCATAAAGCAGTCCTGGATAGGTGGGACCTGTCTGGCAGGACAGCTCCTCTGGGCAAGGAACACTGTTGCAGGTCAGCAGATGCCCTTGCTCGCAGCCAGGCTGCCATTCTTGTTGCAGAGTTGCCCCAGGGGATGTCTTCAGTGTACAGTTGTGGGATCTGAACAGAGATTTTCCCCCAAAGCCATGATCTCTCTCACCTGTGCAATCCTACATCTCCCCTGTCCTGAGATCTCCCCCCCTCCCTGTTGTTAAATGGGTTGTATTTGAATCTCTTTGCCACTTTCATTTTGTCAGCTTCCTGAATCGTAAGGAGAACCTGGAAGCTGAAGTGTTTTCATTTGAGGCACCGTGGGGTGGGCTAGCTTTCTTCTTGGATCCAAAGTGGAGAAGTCACTTCCTTGTTTTTCGTTTTAAAAAAACCACAAACCTGATGCCCCTTGGCAGTGTCACATTGCTCTAGGTTTGCATCCATCTCTCAGGGATGAGCCCACCTGGCAGAGCCGTTCTTCCTGGTCCCCTTGTTGAACTTCATTAAGACCAAACGCTCTGGTTTTTTGTTCTCGAAATCTGGGCACTTCCCCTGGTGTTTGGAAACAGCTCCATTCGTGTGTCATCTCTGACTCATTTGTGCCTGGCACATAGGAAGTGTGGCAGGGTGCAGTGGGTGGCTCGCTAACTGGTCTCTTCCCAGCTGGTAGCGGGGTGTGCGAGGTCTTTGTGCGGTTCCTGCAGACGTGCTTTTGGGGGCAGCTCCTGCCCCTCGCCCCGGTGCCTGCAGCCGTTTCCTTGCTGAACTCGGCTGCCTGTCTTTCTTGAAATCAGCTCTGTGAGGAGCTGCTGTGGGCAGGAAGCGGCAGTTTCCTCTTGCCAGTTGGCAGCCAAGTAGCCTGCAGTTCAGGCCTGATTTTTTTTAACCCCCCCCTTTCCCTTGTTCTCTCTTGTCCCCTTGGGTTGGGTCCACGTGGGGAGTAGACTTGCAGGTACAGCGAGGCCAGAGCTGCTTGTCCTCTCTTGCGCTCACACTCGCACGTAGGAGGCCCTGGGCCTGGCTCGTGTGGCAGGAGTGCAGGCCCCGGGGAAGATGGGGCACAGCCCTGGCACGGCTACAGCGCCCACTACTTCCTCGTGTGCCGGCCTGGCAGGGAAGGAAGGCCCGTTTTATCATCCCTTTGCAACGTTTTCTATT